AAGTGACACATGGATAACCCTGGAAAGAGCTAAGTGAAAGAATCCAGTCACCAAAGACAACCTGAGATTCCATTCTAAGCAATGTTTAAACGAGGCAAATCCATAGAGACAGCAGGTTAGAGGCTGCCTGGAGCCAAGGAGGACAGGAATGGAGAGAGAGCACCGGAAGACACACATTTCTTTTTGGAATGATGAAAATGTTCTACAGCTGGATTGTACTGAAGACAAGCCAACACTGTGACACCAGAAGCTCTCAAACAGTGAGTTACAAATTAATGAACTCTACAGTATATGATGTGTGCCTTAATAAAGCAATTTTTAAAATACTGAAGACAAATCTCAGGGCAAAAGCCTGAACTAAAACTTCCTGACAAACTCAATCCCCCACTCACAGACCCTCCCAAGAGGACACCACTCACAGGGCACAGAGCACAGAAGAGATGGTACCGCCCAAGAGGACACCATTTGCTCTAACTTAAGGCACATACTGGGCGTCCTCCACAAACAGGCGCTCTTGCACTAACAATACCACAGGCTGCTGTCTGCCCTATTCCCACAGAGAACTCAGGGCTAAAATGAAGGGGGGTTCAGGATGGTGCTGGGAAAGAAATAGGGGCCTGAGAATGAGAACTGGGGTTCATAGAGATCTGCCAGTCTCTGGTGTCTCTTGAAGTGGGCCCTGGTGATGGCTGAAGGCACTCTAGCCAGCCCGAGCATGGCAAACATGGCTCTGGCAAGTCTTGCCCTTCTCCCCCATTCCCTCTGCCTTGCTAAAAACCATTAGATTACATTCCTGAAGCTAGCCCTCAAGGTCCATTCCTTTATTTGGCCACTTCCTCCTCTTGAGGCTGACTACCAAAGTCTAGCTATCAAAGTACTGAAGCCCAGCAATCAAAATCCCCCTTTGGCTCACCTAATTAACATGCCCAATTAAAATGAAACATCTCATCCTAACACAGGGTTTCCTCTTGTACCTTTACACACCTCCATTTACCTGTGGGCCACATCTGTCTCCTCTCCATCCAGAGGCAGTCCTTTGTCCCCTGGGGACAAATATCCCTTCCCCCTCTCCCTTGTTCCCCTTCCTTCCCGTCATCCTCTATCTCCTGTCTTTGTCTCTTATTCCCTGCCTCTGGGGCAAATACATCTCCTTTGTGCTGGGAACTTGGTCTTAGAGGTCCTGAGCCATCCTTCTGACAGCCATCCACAGTTTCTGCCACACTTTATAAATTATCATATTGGACATGAGTTACTTTTGTCTAATTTCTATTTCAACAGGGTAAATGTCACTAAAGAGATTATTCACAAGGGGAGAGCCAATCCCATTCCTAAAGACTCTAAAAATTCTAATGTGAATCCAGCTACCTATGTTGTGAACTATTAGTTGAAGATATGTTGTATTTGGTTATGCTGGAAACATTTATTTAAAGACGCAAAGAGGTGCTGCATTCTTTTATGTTACATTTGTTTAACTCTGTGTTGCTTTGCCTGTCTAAAACACCTGATTGGTCTAGTAAAGAGCTGAACAGCCAATAGCTAAGCGGGACAAAGGATAGGTGGGGCTGGCAGGCAGAGAGAATAAATAGGAGGAGAAATCTGGTAAGAAAGGATGAAAGAACAAGCAAGAGGAGAAGGACAGAAGGACACCAGGGGCCAGCCACCCAGCTACAGAGCAAGCCATGGAGAATGGTATACAGAAATAGAGAAAGTTAAACCCCAGAGGCAAAGGTAGATGGATAATTTAAGAAAAGCTGGCTAGAAACAAGCCAAGCTAAAGCCGGGCATTCATAAGAAAGAATAAGCCTCCGTGTATTATTAAAGAGCTGGGTGGTGGGCCCCCAAAAGGGTAAAAAGAACCAACAACATACCTATTATCAAACAAGAGAACACATGAAAAATGGGCATACCTCCGAGAGCATAGAGTAACTCCAAGGCTTGAACCATCGACTGTGCTGGCGGGGGCTGAAAAACACACAAAAGTCCTCCTAGATTAGTTTCTCTGACAAGAAACTGAGAAAACATGACCACTCTGGCTCACTCTCCCTCTATCACACCCTATGTGCCCAGTCTCCACGCTGCTGGTACCTAAAACTTTGCCTCCCACCTCTGCAGCATCCTTGGCAGTGCTTTCTCCAAGACTTAACTGCTTTTCAAGCCGCCCTCCCTCACCCCACCCCACCAGTGGAGACAGCCCCCTATTCTAAACCACCCCTTCACTACCCTAAGCTCCCCTCAGCTGTCTCCTGTACTGGGAGCTACAAATCCTGCAGCACAGGGAGAGTACTAACTTCTACTGCCCAGGTCTTGCCAAAGACGAGCTAGTAACATGTTCAAACTGCTGAAAATACAGAGAACATTAATACTGCAAAGTGCATCAAGGCTCACACTGTGCCCTTCAATGGGTGCTCTGACACCTCCTTCCCTCTCTTAAAATCCTCACTGAGAATCTTTGCATGCCAGGCATCAGTGGTCCCTTCTAGGGACTCAGTTCCTAGTAAACCAGCTAACAAGATCAGTACCTTTTCAGACTGCTCTGCCTCTCCTCTGAATGTACAGAGCAACAAATGTACTTTAAGCATCAGAGGAATTTAACTCAATTTCAGATGAGGAAAGTACTGGTAAGAAAAGGTCATCTGAACAAGGCTTTGCAGCCCTTGACGGCAGGGTCAGAAGCTAAACTGAGGCCTTTTTGTTGTTGTTTGCAAAGAACAAAGTCAAGCCTTTAAAAGATCTAGTGACCGACTAAATAGTCTTTACAGTGTGGGACTGACACCTGATTGGCTACACACAGGAGAGCCAAGAAATCACTGGGTGAAAGTCATGTGGCTTGTGAACCAGGCTTCCCTCAGCTATCACTGCGTTCTTCAGAGAGGCAATGCACATACCAGCTCAGCAGGGAGCTTATGTATCTGGAGATTTACTGTGAGAAAGTTACAGAACAGCAAGGCACCATATTAGTGCATCAGGTTCCTGTGGGCACACACGGTCTTGTTCTGTGTTCTCCTGTTCCATCTCTTGCACTCACAGAAGCTCCAGGGTAATTACTTTAAATCACTACATAATACTACACTAGTGTCATACTCTATAAAGAAGTCAATTCTTCTATAAGTCGGCAGATGACAAATACTCTCAGAAATTACTAACAGACATTAACAGATAAGTAAGCTTAAAAATTTATATAAAATATAAAGTGACCGATAAACTTTTTAAAAAAAATCTACCATATGAGAAACAACAAAAAGAATGGATATAACATCTTTGCCACTGGCCCACCATTACATCTGTGCACCCGAGAGAGAATGATGAGTGTAGTGGGAGCATCCAGGCCAGGCTGCACATGCCGCTGAGACCCTAGCAGAGCCAGGCAGGCGTGCATCAGGAGTCTACAGAAGGCCAATGACTCCACTCCTATAACCTACCTTAGAAAATCATCATAGATACCGTGACCATAGGGTCCCTCCCGAAGCCTTGAGTTCCCTCAGCCTTAACACTCTACAGCTAGGCCCATTCACACCCTCTCCATCTGATGATAGCTCCACAGGAGGAATGAGGGCTGGAGGCCCCTTCCTTCCTCTCTCTGAGCACTGGTCAAGCTGCCCTGTGGCTACTCACGCACTCATCTCTCCCCTAGAAACAAAGGGCAGGAGCTACAGAGGAAGAGGAACTCTGGCTCTCTGGCCGCCAGTTTGCCCCACACCCTGCACAGGACCAAGTGGCATATGGTGTTTTAGCTGAGGGGAAAGAAGAAGATGGCATATCTTCACACCATAACCCCACAAGCTCCTCAGCCAGAAGCAAGACTTACAGACATGAAGTGGAACCTGAGGACATTGTCGATCCCTAGGGCTTTCAGCTGCAGGATGACGGGGGCCAAATTGCTGCGCTGCATCTCAGGGACAGTGGACTGAGGTAACTGGTCAAAGGCTTCCTCTAAGAACAGGATCAGAAAGGGATCAAATGGGACACTCACATGCACCATATGCCAGAGTCTTCCTTTTCTGCCTTGAGCCAGAGCTCTGTGATTCCGGGACCAGGTACACAACATTATGATACAAAGTTGTTTTTACATTCTACTTCAAAAATATATTGAAAAATATACTTGAATATATACATACATACATATACACACATATATATAAATACACACTTATATTTATGTATAAAAATACACCCCAATAAAAAACATGTTGCTTTACTTCAGAATGACACTTTTCAAATGTCTTTTCATCAGTGAAATACAAAGCAGCAAGTATCTGCATAATCACTATCAGGCCCAGTTACTGTTAACTCTGCGTAGGGTAGGGTACATCAAGGAAGCAAGAACAGCACAAATAAGCAAAAAACAACGTAAAAATAAATCACTAAAACTGCCACCAGAATCTGACGAAGACCTAATTACAAAGAGCAAAAATCATACAAATGCAGCTTTTAAATCAAGGAGCCAAATGCAGCGTCACACCCTGGATCCTGTCCTTGCATGTCCCACAGGAACAAAAGGTAACCTCAAACAGGAGAAAGCACCCCAAGGCAGAGAGGTAGGGGTGGAGGGGGGAGGACAGGGAGTCAGGGGAGGACTTTATGAAACCAGACCAAAGGGTGGGTAGAAGGAGGGCATGAAATCATTTCTGTGTGTATCAGAAAGCCATGGATTATACACGCCAAATCCTCCCATCTAAGTCAACACTCTACAGATGCACACCCTTCCTAAACACCAGCATCGCCCGCCCAGCCTCCATTTAGACCAGAAAGCTATAGCTAACTAGAGAGGAAATAAGTACACCAGTCTCCTGGAGAAACACTACTATCAACAGAACTTCAAAAGGGTTGTCTCTAAGAAAAAAGACAGCCAATATTCCGGACTGTGAACATAAACTGCCAAATGCACGGGTCTAGCTGGAAGGTTCTAGATGGCAGACAACAGAAGGAAAGGAAACTCTTTATTTATAAGAACACTGTGGATACAATACTGTTACCAGGGCAACCACATTCCCCAAGTACACAACTGACCAAGGCAGAAGCAAGTCATTAGCTGAGAGGCTGGCCCTACTGAGAAGACGCTGAGGGAAGCAGGTATTGATGCTCAGAGATGAAGACGTGATGGCACTTAGAAGCTACAAAGGCCCCGAGCACAGGCAATGCCCCGGGGAGTGTCAGAGGTAGGAAGGACCTGGATCAAGACCAGAAAACAGGCCCTACAAGGAGCAAATGCTCCTCCCATGAACCACTGGAGGTCAGGAAGGAGGACAGCAGAGACAGGGAAAGGCTCTAGAGGGGCTGCCGGGAGCATCAGGAGGATCTGCTGGGCACAGACAGACGAGGCATCAAAGGCAGGAGTGGAGGAAGTGGGAAACAGAGGGCGTGTCTAAGAACAGAGTACAGCTGAGAACCCAGTAGAATATAAGTGAGAACAGAGGTGCTGAGGAAAAGCTCCAAGATTCTGGAAAACGAAATGATCTGCACCATCTGAAAACTCAGCTAAGATCTGAAGGCTGGGCACTAACACACTGGCTACTGCCCCTGGCCCTTCCCAACCACACTCCTGCTAAAGCAGCTACAGCTAAAGACTCAGTAACCTTCCACCCAAATGCACCTGCCCAGCTTTGGTCCATGTCCTATCACATGATTTCTTTGATGCATGAGATCCTGGTACCCATTTCCACTTTAAAAATAATTTGAGTTGGAATTGGAGAGATGGCTCAGTGGTTAAGAGCACTGACCGCATTTGCAGAGGACCCAGGTTCAGCTCCCTAGCACCCATGTGGTGGGACAGAATCACCTGTAATTCCAAGTCTAGGACACACAACGCCTTCTTCTGACCTCCTCAGGTACCAGGCATACATGTGGTGCACAGACATACATTAAGGCAAAAAAAACCCACAAACTAAAATTACACAAAACTAAAAGTAGTAACTTGAGTTGTTGGGAATGGTGGCACACATCTTTAAATCCCAGCACTTGTGAGGGAAAGGTAGGGAAATCTCTGAGTCTGAGGCCAGCCTGGGCTACACAGAGAGACTCTGCCTCAAAAATAAATAAATAAAACAACTTGAGTTCCTTTAAAAGTTAAACACACAATTACTTTATCCACAACTCTGCAGTTCCTCATAGAATAAAGGTTTTTCTGCATGTCTCAAGTCCACACACACACTTATCCCCAGCACCACTAACCCCTAGAGCCTAAGAGAAACAGTGAAAATGATGAATGGACAGATTGTGTGCATGTACATAATGGACGATTACTCAGTCATCCCATCCCCTCTCCCCATTTCTGAAACCAGTCTCCGGTGCCCTACCCCCCCACGTGGACAGCCCGGGCTGCATTAAGAAGAGGCTCACACACTGCATGGCTGTGAGGCACTCCCTGCTCTGCAACTCCCAGCAGGGGAAAATGCACGCTCTCGGCTTCGATGGCCTCCTTTCCTCTACAGCCACTTATCACACCAGGGCAAGCTGCTCTTCTCCTGAATCTACCACCATACCATCTACAATGTAGCCACGGCACACGGCTTACTGAGCCCTAGGAGCCCAGGCCCTGATGACATGCTGGGGGGAAAGGAGGGCTAGGTGTGAAGGTCAAGGTGTAGTGATGCTCTGAGTTCCATACCCCACAGAGGAAGAGAGAGAAGGACAGGCAGAGATATACATCAATGACTGTACAAGGATGATGGAAACAGGAACAAAAGAAAGATACCTGGCAGTGCTTAGCTCTCAGATTCTTAAGCAACTGCAGGTGGATAATGGATAGAGGAAGGACTAATGACTGGAAAATTCCATCTGTACACCAAGAAGGTGTGTGCAGAGGCAGGGGCGGGGGGTAGTGTCTCAGTACCACTCCCAGTGAAAGAGACACACAGAGAAACAGCAGCTCTGGAGCATCACGGTACCTGTGCCTCCCAGTATCAGCAGGCTGAGGGAGGAAAGCTCGGTAAGGGCCAGGACTGTGCCCTCAGAACCTAGCATGGCTCAGGATACAGAGTGATCTGTTGTCTCTGAATGAGTCCCAGAACAACTCAGAAAAGACAAACAGGGATGTGATGTGAGCGGCCACTGGATTCAGGAGTCTCAGGGAAAGAACACAGCACATTAGATAGAACAGAGGGAGGAAGACAGCACTTGATGTCAGCTGGGGGTCTGACACAGGGCCCAACACAGGTTAAAACAGATGTGACACGCAGGCGGTGGTTCACTGGGCTAGCCTTGGCCAATGGGGATTCCAAGCAAAGAAGACAAGAAGTGGTAGGGACCCTGGGAGGGAGAGCTGGATTTTATGGTAAGTTCTGCCACAAGGGACAAATTTCTGCCCTGTGATCCAAAGCCCAGGCTACGATAACAAAATGCAAAGTTGTTAAGAAACACCATACATACCTGTATAAAGGCGGTAACACTTTCCGGAGCGGTTGCGCCCACCACGCCCTGCCCTCTGGTTGGCTGACGCCTGAGACACTGGTACCACCACCAAGCATTCAATAGCTGTCCTGGGGTTGTAGGCTCGGAGCTTCATAAAGCCACAGTCAATCACATACACAATGCCACTGATTGTGATGGAAGTTTCTGCCACATTGGTGGCCACAATCACCTACCAAGAAGAGAAAGAAAGCTAGTTGGTTCTTTCCACTTTAAATAAGCTTAAAAATCCGACCGATGTTTTGATATTTCAAACATCATGATGTGAGGCAGGAGTTAAAGAGCCAGGATACCGGGTGGAAATGTTCCAGTTCTATAACCATACACAGCTCCCTCAAGCTCCTGAGCCCTCCTTCCTCATCTACATAGTATGACCACCGTCTCCTGAGGGTTGTTGAGGGGAGAAGATCCAAACATAAAGAGATCAGAACCTAACACACTGAGCACAGGGTGAGTTCTTAATGTCTAGTTTCTCTTTTGCACAACCAAACAGCCATCTCATACAGTCATGTTCATCTATTTACTCACTATCTCTATGGCTCTGCATTTGACCAAGCGCTGTTGAAGGTGCTAGGAATGTTCAATGGAGGAGAGAAAGCCCTGTTCTCCAGAGTTCAAGTTCTAGTCTAGTGTGTCTACAGTGGAAGCACCTCTAACAGGCTGATAACTTCAGAGAGCAGCAGGTACCGGGGAGAAAGCACAACCCAGTAAGAGTATATGCTGTGCCACTATATGCTATATAGCACACATTACACATTATATATTATAATAAAGTTTCCCCTTCACATTGCTGTCCAGAGAAAACATCACTGAAAGATGAATGTGAGCTGAGGCCTACCATCAGGAACTGGCCACCCCTACAGAGACCAGAGAGAAGAGCCACAGGAAGGAGATACTGCCAACACAGCCACTGTGCAAGGAGCTTGGGGACAAAGGGGGCCAAGCTAGCGTGCAGCAGTCTCTGGCTACCATGCATACCTGCCAGCTGCCTTTGCCAGGTTTGATGCAGATGGGGACAGGTATATAAAACACACACAACTTTTTTTTCAAACACTTCCCATTTTAAGATCATTTTATGAAAATCTTCCTACTTTGATATAATAGAGGGTTACAGTTTTACACTTACTACAAAGCCTTCTATCTAAAGGCTGTTGCTGAGACAAGTGAGACGGATCAGCGGATAAGGGATCCAGATGCATGGTAGCCAGAGACTGCTGTCAAACCTGACAACCTGAGTTCAATCCCTGAGACCCACATGGTGGGAGAAAAGAACTGACCCCCATCCCATAAGTACACTCTGACCTCCGTATGGCCATGGCACATATATACCTGGCCCCACCCCACATAAATAAATGTAATAAAAATTTTAATTACATGTTCTACAGCTAGGAACTCTGAGACCTGAAGCTAAGTAACTTAGGGCAAGGTACACAGCAACTCAAGATTAAAACCCGGCCTGTAGATTGGCTGACCACAGTTCGTGTGTGACTGGGCAGGTTCAGACTATTCCATGACAAATGGTCTGAAGCTGGGAGTGGGTCCTCAGACCCAGACCATCCCTCGCCTACTTCACCTGCCATATATTCCACATCTGGGAAGGAGAAAGGAGGAGGAGGGGCAGAAATCTAGCTCCTGATTCCTCCCATCCAATGCTTCTTGCCACCACACCTATCCTCAACCTAATTTCAAAGCTAGATATTTAAGTGACTTAAACTTGACTCTACAAGCAAACTGGATTAGGAACCACTGCTAGTAACTTTATCTAGTTCTGACTGACCACAATCCACACTGACAGTCTCTGAGGCTAAGGCAATAACGTGTCAAGAAAAATATTAGGCAGACAGAAAAGCTACAAGAAGTGAGCTGCTCTGATAATTACCGTCAAAGGGGCCTTTCTCAGGGCAGGTTTGGAAATCCTCACAGCACACTACCTACTATGCATTTTTAGATCTGCTGTATAGAAACATGGATCTCAGGTTTGAAAGAAAAGTCCTGCTTAGCAAAGTTCACGTTGATTAAAAAAATAAAACAGGTGAAGGGCTAGAGAGATGGCTCAGCAGTTAAGAGAACTAACTACTTTTCCAAAGGACCTGGGTTCAATTCCCAGCACCCATGTGGCAGCTCACAACTGTCTGCACCTCCAAAATCTGACACTCTCACACACACAGACATACATGCAGGCAAAACACCAATGCACATAAAGTGAAAATAAATACATTATAAAAATAAAACACGGTCTGGGAGATGGCTCAGAGGGCAAAGTGCTGGCTGGGCAAGTGTGGGGCCCTGAGTCTCCAGAACCCACACAAAGCCAGGTAGGGTAGCATGCGTCTGTAATCCCAGAACTCATACAGTGAGAGGAGGCAGAGGGAAGAACCCCAGCATCTGTGGGCCACCTAGCCTGGCAGACACAGTAGCAGGCAACAGGGACTGTCTCCATCAAGGCTGTCCTCTGACCTCAACATATGCACCGTGGCATATGCCCACGCTTACACACATGAATGCTCTCACACACACATACAAGAGCACACATTAATACAAACACATACCAAAAACACCTTGTGGTACACGACAAAGGGGAGCCAATGTGATTACAAATGGCTGCAAGCACCACTGATCAGCAGGAGTCTCACCTTTCTGACGCTGTGTGACACCCTTTCAAACACCTTCATCTGCTCAAAAGAAGGCAGTCCTGCATACATGGGGAGAACCCGGAGGTGTTTCTTCATCCCCGTGCGAGCCAGCGCCCGTGCCTGCTCGATCAGCATGGACACAACCGTTTCCACTTCTTCCTAAACGCAGAACCAGAAGCCAGAGAAGCTGGTCACGGCTTCACACTGCAAGAACAAACGCTGGCACACGGGCTTTAACTCTGGTCACAGCAGCAACCACAGTGCTGCCGGGTCCCACTCAGGATGGCAGCCAATCAAACGCTACCGAATAACAGTATCAAAGGCGAGAAACCATAACTGTACAATTAATTAGTAAAACTAAACCTTCTGGAGTTAAGAGACGAGTTCCCATAAACAAACAATGAGGAAGTGGAGAGATGGCTCAGTGGTAAAGCATGTACTGCTCTTGCGGAGGACCCGAATTCAGTTCCCATCACCCACGTCAGGCAGCTTACTCTGCCTGTGACTCCAGCTCCAGGGTATCCCACACCCTCTTCAGGCCTCCACATAAGCATCTGCACTCACTGCACATAAATCTACACAAACACATAATTCTTAAATGACTATTTTTACACAGCTTTTATGGACCGAGGCAAACAGCATTCCATGTGGACGGACATGCTGAGCATTCTGTGCATGTGGACAAGCTGCGGCCTATGACATCATGGTAAGCTTTCCTAAGAGAAGATTACTAACTATGGGAAAGTTTGGCAGTGGAAAAGGCTGCAGCTGGAGGTAGTTCTGAGAAGAGCTATAACCATAAGAGAATATTCTGGCTCATTCAATTGTTTTCCACTATGTGGCCACTGGCCACTGCACAATGAGCTGGAAAGATATCCAAATTAAAGGACCCACTCCTAACGTCATGCCACTTAGGAAAGGGTGCCCAACTTTTTGGCCACAGGTTGGGATTGAAACATGCACAAAGCACAATGTATCTAGTGCAACATCCAACACTGGCAAACAAAACAGCCCACTTGATGTAAAACCTAATTTATTCTGAAATCACTATAATACATTTCAAATATGGGGACAGAAGAGATGGTTCAGAGGTTAAGAGTGCTCGCTGCTCTTTTAGAGGACCTGGGTTCAGTTTCCACCACAGGCAGATCATAACCACCTGTAACTCTGGTTCCAATTGATTTGACACCCTCCTGTGCCCTCCATGGGCACATGCACCCACATGGTGATACACAAAGGCTCACACACATACACAAAAAACAAAATTAAAATAAAAAATGCCATTAACCCTCTATGGACAGAATAGGGAGGGATTAATGACCCTCTGACAATCTAGATGGTAGACAATGACATCAAACCAACCATTTTTTATGCAATTTAGCAACCTCAAAATACAATTAAACATGACACAAGTGACTGGAAAGATGGCTCAGTAATTAAAAACACTGACTACTCTTCCAGAGGACCTACGCTTAATTCCCAGCACCCACGTGGCAGCTCACAAACAACTGTAACTCCAATTCCAGGCTACCTGACACTGTTTTTCTGATCTCCTCAGGCACCAAGCATGCAGGCAAAACAGCCACACACATTTAAAAAAGAAAAGAAGAAAGAAAGAAAAGAAAAGAAAGGAAACAAATGGCTAAGAACAGAGCTCTATGTTAATTCTGGTATTGCTCTAACATGTCTATGCAGAGGGACTGGGTGGAGTTACCTGACCAGTAAGGAAGGCTAGTATATCTCCATCTCCCTCTGTCTGGTGAATTTTCACCACAGTGTCCACAGTTGCCTTGATATAATCTGGAACAGGACTGGAAAAAATACATGAGGAAAAAGATCATCACTGGAACAAGCTCATTAATCACAGATCCAATTACACTAATAACCTGGCAGCGAAACCTCATCAGAGTTAGTTTGGGCCAGCCTAGCAGGTAATTAGCATATGGATAAGTAAAATAAATGTGCACTCCTTTTTTCAAATGCAGTAATCAAGAACTGACGATGTATCTCAATGGTACAGCACTTGTCTAACATCTGTAAGGTCCTAGGTTCAATTCCCAGCACAAGAAAGAAAAAAAATGGCATTAAATGCAGCCCTTCTGTACATAATTACATGTAAACAATGGTTTTCAGCTTTATTTGCTAAGAAATAAAGACTATTCTGGAAGACAGAATGTTCTGGAAGCATCACTGCTTAATTCAGTCTTGACTCTCCTGTACAAATTTACATGCATCTGTGGCCATCAGCTCAGCTGGAGAGATTAACAGTGGGAGGCGCATGCACATTATTTATCTTCAGCTTGCAAAGATGCCACAGGGTTCAGCCCCTGCAGAACTACATTGTCTTGGTTAGGGTATTCTATTCTGTGATGAAACACCATGACAAAAAGCAAGTTGGGGAGGAATCATGGAAGGAAGTCAGGACAGGAACTCAAAACAGGGCAGGAACCTGGAGGCAGGAGCTGATGCAGAGGCCATGGAAGAGTGCTGCTCGCTAACTTCTCCTCATGGCTTGTCAGCCCATTTTCTTACAGAACCTAGGACCACCAGCCCAGGGGTGGCCTCACCCACAATGGCCTGGGCCCCCCCCAACAAACAACAAACAAAAAAACAACCGAAAACCCCAACCTAAGGAAGCAATGGCCCCCACGAAGCCCCCCCCTCTCTGATAACTCTAGCTTGTGTCAAACTGACAAAAACCAGCCAGCACAGCAAACCCATCATCTCCTGGCCAGGTTGAGTGAATGAAAATGGCAGACACTCCCTCCAGCTTAAAAGACTCAAAGATGAAGTTTACAACTCTCTGGATTTATCAGGCACCAGACAAGGCCTAGTAACTAGGTACAGCAATTAGGTTGGCCCCTTTCTTACTAGGGACATCTCCCAAAAGTGTAGCCCTTCTTGCTAAGGATGTAGACAACAAAAGACGGGACTCAGCAGTGCTTCCTTACTGACGGCACCCTGGGAACCCCCAGTTCAGAAAACTGCCAAACTACCTCCCATCAGCCTACTATGACTTTACTCTCTCCAGCTGAGCTGATGGCCACAGATGCATGTAAATTTGCACAGGCGAGTCAAGACTAAATTCAGCAGTGATGCTGGTCCAGCTTCCAGAACATTCTATGGATAATAGGCGCTGCACCATACCCCTCTCCACACTGCAGGCAGATGGCATTCTCTAATATTCTGCATGATAGGCGAGATCCCATACCATCATCATCAAGAATCAAGCATTACCAAACCTTTGTAGGTAAAAGATATCCACTGGAAATGTCCGCCCTTCCACTGTAAGGGTCACACAGGTATCCCTGGCTGGGTCACTAGTTTCATTCTGATTAAAGAAATCTCGAAATTTCTGAAAATAAATAAATACATAAAGATTATCCACATTTATCTGAAAAAAAAAAAAAAAAAAAAAAAAAGGATGGTTCATAGTAACCCACAGAAAGAAAATATAAAACCAGCAGAGGTATGTGGGGCAGTAGAATTAGACACATACAGTGACGATTACACTCGGAGGAATAGCTTATTTTATTTTAGAGACAGGATCCCGTGTAGCCTAACTAGTCTCAAACTCACTACACAGCTGAGGCTGGCCTTGAACTCCTGATCCTCCTGCCTCCACTTCCTGAGTGCTGGAATAATGTATGTGCTATCACACCACACAAAGTGATTTTCTAAATTTACAATTTTCTTTCTTTTACAGATCCACCAAGCCATCTCCCCAGGGACCAGCTTCATTCTGTTGACACAGGGTCTTGAAACTCAGCTCAGACAGACCTGAAATGTAGCCCAGGCTAGATTCAAACTCAGGATCATCCTGCCTCTGCCTCCTGGATTCTGGGATTACAGGCGTGCGCCAGCACATTCAGTGAAATTTACTTTTCTCTTACTGAAACTGCAGGGAAATTTTCTTTTTTTTCTTTTAATTATTTCTTTTATTTAAAAAAAAAAACAAAACGTTTCATTCATTTTACATACCAACCACAGATCCCTCTCTCATCCCTCCTCCTGCTCCCCCCACCCCTCATCCTCTTCTCCCATGGGGAACAGCAAAGCAGGGAAATTTTCAATGACAGATTCTAAAGGTTTGATTACAGTTAAGGGTTAAAATTCAATGACTCTAAGCTGCCACCCTCTATGTTTTATTTAGCTGACAATTAGGTGTGACTCAGTTTGGTACAGGTTAAACCAGGCTGGTGGACAGCTCTAATATGGAGAGCACACATCTGATGGCACAAGGTTGTCAATTCCTAAATTGCATGGTAGGTGTGTCTCTGATATGTAGTTACTGTAACTTCCCATTTTACTATAATGTCAGGCCATCTGAGAGCATGAACAGTGTCTTCTCCAATCGTGTGCACATGAATGCTGACACAGGACAGGACAGAACAGAACCACTTTTTAATCAATGAAGGAACTTCCTTGCAGTGGAGATCTTGGGCCTGAATCACTATGACTATGAGAAAGAGGCTGGGACAGAACTGTACAGAACCAACCAGGGCCAGGTTTAAACATTGCAGGCAGCTCAGAGACAGGAAAGGTGGACACAAGCAACACGGTCAAGACTGTCACCAACACCCAGTGTCAGCTGAGCCAGGGGCCAAGGACGGACTGGATAGCCTTGAGGAAAAAGAGTAGAGATTCAAGACCCCTCACCCACAAAGTGAGTGAGGAGGCAGGAAGAACAGGGACAGCAGGGCCCAGGGCTGCAGGAGGAGGACTTTAAGAAGGGCTTGCTGGACATAGATACCATCAGGACATGCAAAACAGTGAGAGAGGTGAGGCCGTGACAGCCATACTGGATGGTGTAGATAACTGGTCTCCAGATGTTGGAAATGCTGACCCAGAGCTACTCTTTAAAGAACACTCCCCACGTACTGAGAGACACAGAGTCTATGTCCTTAAGAGTTTTATCAGGTATCTTCACAAGGAATGTACAGATAAAACCCAAAAACTCAGGCTAGAGAGAAGGCTCAGTGGTTAAGAGCACTTCTTCCAGAGGACCAGATTCAATTTCCAGTACCCACATGGTGGCCCCCAACTGTCTAAAACTCCAGTTACAGGAAGTTTGATGCCCTTTCCTAACCTCCATGGGTACACAGATTATACATACACACACACACACACACACACACACACACACACACACACACACACACACACACACACACACACACACACACTAAACAGTAATAATAAATTGTTTTCCTAAAAGGTCAGTAACCTATTTCTCCAGAACACATGAATCCTGAGGCAGAATCAAGGAGACAGACAGTGAAGCAAGCCCCTCACCTGGAAAAATCTGAGTACAGTTCAAGAGGTGGGGTCACAATGACATGAGCACAGAGTAGAAATGGAACAAGATGGAGAGGAAAGGGGACAGTCCATGAGAGAAAATGGAAATAATGTGGACCTCTGCTGGGCCATCGGCCAGCTCACTCCAGCTTCCTGTCCTGGGAGCTGCTCCCACCTGGCCCACACTAGAGAGCTCCCAGCAGCCATGTCCATGCCCTCCCTAATCCCCACCCAAGTCAACAAGACTGATCTGTGCAAACCAGTACAATGTGGGAATCTGACATCAGAGGACTCAGGATCCTTCACCAGGACTCATCAAAGAGAGAAATTAATTTCTCTACAAGTAATTAGACCTCTGACAAAACAACTGGAAATGTCTGCAAGTCTTGAGTCTGTCATGCAGAGAGATTCAAGCAGAATGCGATACAAAGGTAAAGGAACACTCTGCAGTCACACCTGCTGTGTATGTAACTGCTCACCTAATCAAGCTCCTACAAACAGGACAGCTCAACCAACCAAGGCAACTATCCGATCAGCCTCCAGCCTCTCAGCCACTTCCCTGCCGCAGACATTGGTGTCCCATCTACAGGCTGGGCCACCCACCCAAGCGAAACCACAGGTGGCCTGTCAGCAGTATTACACATCTAGGCAGTTGACATTAAGTTTGTCACCTATAGACATAGCAACTTGGGCCAGAAGATGAGTCTAGGGTATCCTTGGGCCTCCAGATCCAAATGCTAGGTAGCCACACCCTGCCCTTGCTCACTTCCACGAGGTGGTCCTCTCTCCAGGACTCTTCAGCCCACTAACATCCTCTTCCTTTCACTTAAGAATACACACCCACATGGAGCCACATCTACCCACACCACACCCTAAGCCAGGAGACCCCATACCTGGCTGTCTCCCTTCAATGCTCCCCTCGGGGATGTTCAGGGGAGGAAGAGAAAGAGGAATGAATAGCCTATAGCTGACCCTGGGCCCAGGTGAGTAGTGCTAAGTTCCACCATGCCCTACATCAGAACACACCAAGCAATGACTAATCTACCAACTCACAAAAGATTTCAGGAGAGGGTGGTGGTGGCATACACTTTTAATCTCAGCACTCAAGAGGCAGAGCCAGGCGGATCTCTGTGAGTTCAAGGCCAACCTGGTCTACAGAGCGAGATCCAGGACAGGCACCAAAACTACAGAAAAACCCTGTGTAGGGGGAAAAAAAGATTTCAGGAAATTATATCTACATCACCTACTACAGACAGAACTGAATGAGGCAATGTTTTCCAGTCTCTATGACATACTAAGAGCCAATCTGTACCTAAGGCTCAGGGAACACTATGGAAGAGGGAGAGGATCAGGGAGTTTTCTGTGAGACAGAAGCTGTACCTACAGCCTCACCAACATGAATGCCTAACAAGGACAACAGCAGACATGCTAACATGGACAGGGAAAGACCTCAACTCTACACAATGAACTACAGGCAACTGAAGAATACCAAGAGGGACAAATAAGTCTTCTCTAGGGAAAAGCACACCAACTGATTTTCTAATCCGAAGGGTCAGTCCTGAAAACATACATACAAGAAATAATATACAGACTAAGCAGGTTATATTTAGAAATATACGTGCACATTCACAGATGCATGTAACAATTAACAAAGGTCATGAATCTGGAAGAGAGCAAGGAGAATATATGGGAGGGTTAAGAGAAAGAAAAGGGAAGGGGGAAATGGTGTTTAAGTATATTATAGCATCAAAAAGAAAAGAAAAAAGATAATGCAAGGTAGCAGTAAGTAGTTCATAGTTACCAATTAGCAATGAGCCCACGGGGGTCGGGGAGTATGACTTGGACATTATATTTTTCACCACAACTAGGCCTGTTTAGGTCAATTTTTCAGTTTGTAATTTTTAAGAGAGAAAGAAGGAAGGAAAGATAACAGAGATCTGTGCAAGTGGCCCACAAAGAAGAGAACCAGGGCGGGTCAGACTCCTCCTGTAATGGTTCCCTGACACAGTCTACAGTCACCTAGGAAGAAAGAGTATCAATGAGAGACAGTCTAGATCAGGTCAGCCTGTGGACATGTCTGTCACGAGGGGAGGGAGTGTCTTGGTTATATTAATTGATGTGAGAAGACTCAAGCCCATCATGGGCAGCACCATTCTAACTGTACTATGAGTGGGAAAAAGGTAGGGCCAGCAAGATGGCTCACAGCTTAAGAGCACTGGCTTACGTGAGTTAAGAGGACCAGGGTTCAATTCCCAGCACCCATATGGCAGCTCACAACCAACTGCTACTCCACTCCCAGGGATCCAATGCCCTCTCCTAGCTTCCATGGACACTGAACACACATGATGCAGACATACATGCAGGCAAAACACCCATATGCATAAAAGCAAATGTTTTTTAATTAAGTGTTTAAAAGTCTAAGGAAAAGATAAGCTGAAGTAAGCATGTGTGCATTTATTTCTCCCTGAGAACTAAAATAAACACTTTCATTCCTAGCTGTTGTTTGTCAAGGTATATTATCACAGCATCAGAAATGCAATTGCAACACCTCCAGAAGACATTCCAGCAGACTTCAGAGTGACAGAGATGACAAGGAGCAGTTCAAACCCAGAGGTGATCACGGGCAGCCAAGAGCTCCAACAGCTTGTCAACAAGCTAGCCTGGGTACACAGGCAGACACCTTTCACCAAGTGAGTCTGCATTCTTCCACTCATAGGGAGACAGAGGAACAAGCTAGGGGCCAGCCCCTCACATCTCAGCTGTAATACAAAGCTCCTGGCTGGCATTTCCATAACTACTCCCTATGTCTCTACCCGACATAAGAATGATCTTCCTAAGTCCCAAATATGAGCAAGTCACTGCCCTACCTATACACTGTAAGGCAAGAGGGTAAAATCATGAGTAAGACAGAGTCCCACCCTTCAAGGATTCAAGCAATTCCTGAACATGCATCTAAAATCAGTGCACCTGAAACACACACAAAGCAGTACAAGAGGACAGAGCAGCAGAGGCGGGGCCTCAGAGGAAAGCCTCTCTGAGGAGGTGAGGTTCTCCTGGACCAGAGTAAGATGCTGGCGGAGCCATAGGGATGTCTGGAAGAAAAACTGACTGGAAGAACCCTCCCTCATCCCAAGGAGAAGCCTGGTTCTCTCAGAAGAACAGAAGGGGCCCGTGGGGCTGGTACAAAAAGAACACTAGACAGAGGAGAAAGGAGTTGAAGTCAGGACAGTAGCTGAGGATGGAGGACCCCTGAGGATGGAGTGCCCACAGATGGGTCACCCTGAAGATGGAGCATGCCTGAGGATGGAGTACCCCTGAAAATGGAGCACCTGAGAATGGAGCACCCCTGAAAATGGAGTACCTCAGAATGGAGCACGCCTGAGGATGGAATACCCCTGAAAATGGAACACCTGAGAATGGAGCACCCTTAAGAATGGGGCACCGAGAATGGAGCACCCCTGAGAATGGAGCACCCCTGAAAATGGAACACCCCTGAGGATGGGGCACCACTGATAATGGGGCA